AAAGAAAAGAAGTGAGTCTTCTAGCCACATTATTTGAAGCTGGCATGTGTTTGATAGAGGTGTGCTTCCTTTAGTACAGATCCTGCTCTTTTACTGGAAGAACTTTAAAAAAGAAATTTACTTAGTAATAAAGTCCAGCAAAATGTGCTTGGTGATTTGAGGGCTAGACATCGGGTCGAGTGCAGCCACACTGTCATGAAGCTTGCTTGGTGACTTTCATGTAATTAGTTTGTCAGATTAACATACCTCCCAGGAAAGTTTGTGAGGATAACTTGGTGACGATATTCATTTGGACTACTCTGTGTTGTTGTTGTTTTTTGCAAGAAAGATGGGATAGACATATAATAAGTCTCATATAAACAGGGTAACCAAATGTATGCCTCCACCCCATTAGCTAGGAGAAGAAAGATAGACTTGTGAGGAGAGACGGAATCGAAATTTTAAAATGGCAGGCCGTGAAAATGGCCTACACAGAACTTCCTCATCAACAAATGGTTAGGAGATGACAAGGGTAGCCTAGCTTAGATAGGAAAGAGCATATCTCCCTGTCCAGAGACCCATTTGTGGTGTGAAGCCCTCTTGTAGTTTGCTCAGGTGGATCAGCGAGCACAAAGCTTTTTGAGGCCATTCCATTTGCTCCTAATAGCCCCCTTTTCTCCATCTTCTTTTCCCTCAGCAAGAACAGAGAAAAAAGGAGACCACGGGGCATGAAAACCACTTGGAGCCTTCTGAGTCCAGAGAAGATTCTACAATGCCTCAGGTCCCTCGTGGCCCTCACCCTGAGAAGCTCTGCCCGTCTCCACCTCATCATCCCTACGTGCACCGCGAACCAACGGGAAAATTAATGCCACCCAGCCATTCTCAGCCGTGAAGCCTCATGAAGCAGAAGCAGCTGAGCAAAACCTGTCTTATTTTCATTTTTGTACGATAGTGAAGCCCTGCTGTTCTAGATTTGTGTTTGCTATTTTGCCATGTGTGCTCCTAGCCTGTATTTTTCTATAACATTTGTTCTTCTTTTCCCTGGACTATTGTTTGGGTCTCATGGTTGCTGGTTATGATTTTTGACCCTAGCCTTTGAAATCCCTGATTCTGGATTCACTCCGAGTAACATGTTTTCCTTATAACCCCATCTAAATGTCCTGCATCAGCATAGTACATTTTCTAAACTTTATATACTTTATAGTTGATCTGTACCAAGCACTAAAATATAATTGGGGGGGAAGGGAAACACCTTTCTGTTCTTTAAATCTTTGGAATAAAATTAAATGAAAATCAACAATAGAGGACAATGATGCAGATATCTAAAATAGATGTTGTTGACCAGGAGGCCTCATTTGACTTCCAGCCATTCTACCCATGCCCTCCAAAGCGCTGAGGTTCCCTCCACACAACCCTCTGACTAGCTACTTGAGCACAAGCCAGATTGCAGGGAACCGAATCTTGTGGGGTTATGAGATGGTTTAAGCTCCCTTGGCAGTGGTAGTAGCGATCATCATCAAGGCTGCTCTGCTGGTAATAATGGTGGGGAAATAGCAGTGGAGGTTTAGTAGGGAAATAGACATCGTGGTGCAGGAATGGGGGTAGTTCAGTCTTGAGCAGGATTGCTGGGATGGAGCAATAAAGTGAACACCACACTTAGCAACTGAGTGATTACAATGCCTCAAGGGAATTAAAAGGCCTTCCTGGGAAGGGCAGAACTGGGAGGAGGGCCCCCCAGGGCTGAAAAAGTGCTCCCTATAAGAACCACCCACCTGACCTCCTTTGACAGCCCTGCCTAGAGAAGTAAGTCTCAGATCTTCAGCAGGATGATTGTAGAGCGGCTTAGCAGTCAATGTTCAACCTACTGCTAAGATACCTGTACTATCCTCAATATTTGCCCAAGATTTCAGTCTGCTTTTGGTGTTTGTTTCCCACTTTGAAGTTCATTCCTGTCTGGACTGCTGACAACAAATGAGGGGTCAAGGTACTTTCCTTCCAAATGGAGTGAAATTGGCTTGACGGTGGGTAAGGTAGACTTCATAGCAGACACACTTCTCGGATTGGTTTTTTTTAATTATTCTTATTTTGAATATAGCAGACACACTTCTCAGATTTGTTTTTTATTATTATTATTTTGAACGTGAGACCTCTCATTACTGGGTTCCCCTCTGCAGCTTACTCTAGCAAGGTTGGCCCAAGAGGTTTTATTGATCAAAGCAAAAGACAAAAGGATGCCTCCGCACACAGACACACACTCCACTTACAGCAGCTGGTCAGACTGGTAGTTGAATTATTACCTCACCTTGACTGAACCGTACCCTCTCCAACATCCTCCACTGTGCCTGAGAGGAACACACTAGCTTAGATGTTCAGAACAGGCCACTTTGGACCCACGACTCTGTCTGCCCCCAGGAGGAGAGGACAAGGGAGTTTTGCCACACTGCCCTTCTTCTGCCCTATGAAGTAACTGCCTCACCCTATCTGATGGTGAAGCCACCGAGGGATGAATTGGAAGTCCTTTAGGCAGTCAGTCCATCTTGTGTTTGGTCTTGCTCCTATCCTGCTGCCTTCCACCTTTCCCAGCATTATTGTCTTTCCCAGAAAATCTTGCTTTCTCATAAAGTGCTCAAAGGAGGACAGCCCCAATTTCATCATTTTTGCCTGGAGAGAGATAGCTCAGGCTTGATTTGATCCAGAACCCTCATGTTTGTCTTTCTGGCAGTCCAGGGTATCCGCAAAACTCTCTCCCAGCACCACATTTCAAATACGTCAAACGAAGGAAGAAACTAAAAGGTGGATCTATTAAATCATCATCATCATTCTTTATTACGGTCACAGACCAGCAAGATTATAAGAAAACAGAACGTACAGAAATTACTCCTTATGTAGTATATGAATCCTTCTTTAAAGGCGATTGCAACATTTTCTCTCTAGTTCTCATAGCAATCAAAAAAATGTAGACACCCTGTCAGTAGTATAAGTGGACACACCCTCTAAGCAGGAGGGGCTAATGTGCAGAGACACATATATTAGTGGAGAGATTAACTTATTTCTACAATCATCATACATTCTGCAGTGAAAAATAAAACGTTCAACTGATTCAATTTCTCCATTTTCACAAGGACAAGTTCAGTCATTAAATGGAATTTCCCTAATTCGCGCATCTAGTATAGCTGATGGCTGATGGCAATACATTAAAGTGAGCTAACATGAATGCTGTCCTATATTTTGGAATGGATAATGCATATACATATGGGGCAGTCCATAGTTATGCATATACATATGGGGCAGACCGTAGTTATTAGTTTTATTATAGATAGGTGGATAAGTGGAGAGCAGCATTTATTATCTACAGTTCTTAAGTGCTACGGAATTAAAAACAGATCCTCATATGATTTTCATGTGGGATCCTTCCAAAAGCACCATAAAATTATACACCCCATCAATGTGCACAGACTACCCCAGAGAAATCATGAATCCTTTGGCACATGGTTGTTCACTGGCGTCAAAACATGGTTCCAGGCACAGATCCACATTATTTCACATAATGTTTAGATTAAATCCTGTCTAAATAACCTTCACATCATAGAAACCATCTATAACCACACACCTGTGCTTCAGACGAGTTTTGCCCCTCTGCAAAGCCATGCCCTGAAGGACCCACAATTTATTTGTTGTAGTAGTGTGTGGGCACTGATTATCCCTAGGGTTGGAGAGTGGTTTGGGGATGATCCTGCATAAAAATGATGTGGATCCACGAGGATCCATGCTTTGGATCATGATTGTTATGTAGGGTAATCCCTAAACCACTCCCTAGTCATAGGCCACAGGAATCATGGGACCATGCAAAACCACCAAAGCATGAATCCTCCAGGATCCTTAAGATGTTTACATTTGTGCTCCCCAAAACACAGTCCAAGCACAGGTCCCTTCTGTGCCCACAGACTACAATACAGAAATCTTGAGTTCTTTGATGTGTAGCTTTGTTGTGGGGCAAAAAAAATGGATCTGTAGCATGGATTCTCATGGATCAACATGATTTTTATGTAGGATCCATATGATCAAGTACAGCTAAATTGTGGCTCCATCTGTTCTCATAAAGTGAAGCATAAGAACACAGTATCTCACGCATGGCATTCTCATGATACACACACACACACACACCAAAAAAGTTGGATATCTATGGCATAGATCTCGTGGAATACGTGAGTAAATACGCATAAGAACACAGTATCTCACGCATGGCATCTTCATGATGCACACACACACACACACCAAAAAAAGTTTGATGTCTATGGCATAGATCTCGTGGAACACGTGATTTTAAATTAGGATTCTCAGACTGTTACGGATCCACATAGGATTTTTTTTTTTGCAGTGGATTCGTCTTAAATCATTCACACACCACAGGTCCCACCAGTATGTTCAGGCCAAACAGCAAATAACTTGAAGTTCTTCATTCAGGAGACCACCATAACACAAACATTGGCCACAAGCAACATTCCCTCAGATATTCAGCCCTGCTGGCCCCAGTTCCACCCTTATGAATGTGACTCCTTCCTGTGTGGGGTTCCATTGCAGCCAGAACAAAAGGGGGCGGACACATTCACTGTGAATGCATGGAGGAGGAAGGTGGCGCAGAGGTGTGCGCTCTTGTGCAGTTGGGCGCCTTAGCGGAAACCTTGGTCATGCGGCGTGAATTCTCATATGATATTTACATGGGATCCATCTGAAGTGGCCCTGCCAAAAGAGATCTACCAGGGCCCATGGACAGAACATTCCTGTTCCTTGTTGCAAAGCTCTGCAGTGGTGCAAAAACGTTGCTCCCTGGCTGGCATCTGAATAGATTTAAATAAAGAAATAAAGAAATAACTTGGGCTACATTCCCAAAACACAGAAATGTGCCAGGTCACATACAGGCTGGAAGAACTAACCACAGAAACCATAGGATTTATTCTTCGCTTCACTGCTAGAGTAGAAAGAAAAATAAGATCCATGACTAGAACCATCTTGGAACCTCTTTATTTATTCATAGGGAGCATCTACAACCATGCTGAATCAAGCAAACCTTCTGTGCCAATAGGGGTAAGAAAAAGCATCAGAGATAGCGCAACACATGGCACTTTTGCTCTAGTGCAAAAATATGGATGTGTTTCAGCTCCTCTGGGTGCAAATGTTATATTTCATGAAACTATTGAAGGTATAGTTGTGCTACTCTCCTTTCATATAGCCTCTCTATCCTTGATGGAGGAAGTTGAGTCATGGCAACTGGACTTCTTTCTTGTCACCTGGAAATGTTTCGCTGCTCATCCAAGTAGTTTCTTCAGTCTGAGAAGAGTTGTTAGAAGATCCCTGATATATTTTTGAAAACAAATAGGACTTATTCATGTCCACTATGACCCAAGAGGATTTCAGCTTTAGATTCAGTCTGAGCTAAAATCCTCTTGTGTTATGGTGACATTAATAACTCTTTCTAGTTGTTTTCAATGCCCCTCCCCCGATGACTAATTATAGGTGAGAACCACATAAACCAGAAGTATTGTGGAACTTTAAAGATTAACAGATTTATTGCAATGTGAACTTTCATGAATTATAATCTGCTGGAGGAAGTGGATTGTAATTAGAGTTTTATATACTATTTGTTTTTGGATTATAACTCCCAGAACTCCTCAGCCAGCATGGCCACTGGAAGCTGTAGTCCACAAATGTTATGCACACTGAAATAAATCAGTTGGTCTTTAAGGTACTCCAACTCTTTTGTTTTCATTAATGTTATTATTAATGTTTCACTAATGTCATTTTGCAGTCTCCTTGAAAAACAATTACATGTAGATGTAGTTCTTTCCAAGCTCTGGTACGGGGTCACAAAGTGGAAAAAAAATAATGCATGATGCCCTGAGGAACTAAGGCGATGCTTTTACTTAGTATATCCTACCCACCTGCTTATGGATAGCATGCATCTTAGTTGCTTTGCTTTTACTCAGGCAAATTAGAAGCCCATTCCAAAATGAGACCATTGCACACAGCTAAGGAGAGGTTTAAACCTTTAATTAAAAACACTTCTATTGATGCCAATTTCAACTTTACGGTGACTTAAGTATTGTTGGATGTTGGTCTGAATGCTGGTAACTCTAGTTTTCTTCTTCACAGACTTATTTCACACTCCTGGACCTTTGGCTGGCTTCATCTTATTGGCCATTGCGATGATCCTGGCCCTCACTATGCTACAACTTCTCCATTGTAGAAGCATTCTAGTTCTCAAAAAAAGTCTTGTGAATGTGTTTTGAATTTACAAATATATATATCGGGAGGAAACAAAATATGGAATTAACACCAAACACAGTAGCCCAGGTGTGGACAGCTGTAGCAGTTCCTGATTTCTTTGGATTGCAACCCCATTAATATTTGCTGACTGATTATATGGTTAGGAGCGATTGGAGGTGGAGGCCAGAATATTTGGAAGTCACGGTAGCCCAGCCTCTTTGGCCAATACTTCCACAGTGGCTGCTTGAACATGAGTTGTGACCTTGGAGGAAGAGAGAATGAGAGACCAGATGAAACCAGGCAGAAAATGTAGCAACAAATGCCAATCTGGCATTAACTTTACTAAGCTGATTACATGATTTTCATGAGATATTTTTAGAGAAAAGGGCATCTGTCTTGCCTATCAAGCATACAACACGGGTGGCTGTTTGTTTCTTACTAATTGTCTTTATTTAGTGAGTACAGTTTTATTATACTGATCTGTCTTGCCTATCAAGCATACAACACGGGTGGCTGTTTGTTTATTACTAATTGTCTTTATTTAATGAGTACAGTTTTATTATACTTTTCTTCCATATGGTCCAATACAGGAAGGCTCCTGTCCCTCCTGAATTTTTATCCTCACTACAATCCTGAAAGGTAACTCCAGCTGAGAGGTCATGACTTGATCCATCTACTGAGATTCCTAGAAGAGATGAGATTTGTACTGAAGCCTTTCCAGCCCTAGTCTGCAAAACTAATTACTACATCGCAACGGTAGTCACAGTTGGCCAGCAAAGCATTAATACAGCAAATAGAACTTTTTTGAACAGTATAAGGAAAGGTTGGCAAAGCACAAGCTGGGTCTGGGGTATAAAACAGACCTCAGCTCCCTTTGCTCCCACAAGAAAATAAAAATTGCAGCTACTGGAAGCCTTTAGGAATAATGATTCACTTTTTAATGAGGGAAAAGAGAAGTGTAAAAGAAGACACGGAAGAGGAGAGTGATTTAGCTTAGAAAAACCAGGTAGCCCTTTGGCTCATATAACACACTCACTGCAGTGGTCCCTAGAGGGCATGTACACAGTAACCCAAAAACCACGCAAGTACCACGTGACTTTAAACCGATTTCCAAAACCCCAATCCAGCTCCTGATCTGGTGCCAACAGGAACATTTCAATCATCAAGCATAAACATCTGTGTGGAAAAAACGGTGCTGTGTGTTCTTGCCATCAAGATGGAACCGACTTATAGAGACCCTAACAGAGTTTTAAAGGTAAGTGAGATACAGTATTTAAGGAGTGGTTTACACGTTCCTTTCCCTGGTGAGTTTCCATGGCCAATTGGGGATTCAATAGATATTTAAGGAGTGGTTTTACATGTTCCTTTCCCTGGTGAGTTTCCGTGGCCAATTGGGGATTCAAAATCTAGACGTCCTGAGTTCTAATTTGCCACTCTATCCGCTACACACCACATTGGGAACCATTAGTTGTGGTACTCCTAGCAAATTCTTGCATGCAAGTCTTTTGCCTCAATCTCCACTTAGCTGGTCTTGGGGGGTCTAGTGAACAACCAGAGTCAAAGAAGGCGGCAGGGCGGTTCAAATTAAACCTGCAGCGTAGGAAAAATAATGCCCATTGTTGCGGGCTGGGAAGTCAAGCTAAAAGGTTTTCCACAACAATCCTACAGAATATGTTTTATAAGGCCGAGGTTGGTATTTCTTTCCAGCCTAAAGGCTTCCACCAACCTCACTGGCACATCTCTTTAAATTTGGTGGGTATGAGAGTTGTGGTATATCAATGGGGGGGGGACACACATGGGCTTTCCCAAGTTAAATCACTCCCATCTTTGGTCGTCTCCTTCTTCATCTGTTTACTCGTGCAGCTACCCTTTATTGGCGGGTGCTGGCACGCGAGGGGGTGAGGGAGAGCGACGTCCATACCCCGGCCGCGTGAGCGCCGAGCTGCCTCCTGAGGAGAAAGACAGGGCGTTCCCTCCTGAGGCGGGAAGCGGCCTCTTTTTCAGTCGAGCGGGAGGCCCAAGTCTCGCGAGACCGGGCGACTTCCGCGTTCAAACCCGCGCGCGCGCCGAGGCCTCTTTCCCGGTGCCGGGGAAAGTCCCTCGACTCCGCATCTGGTCTCGCGTCGTGGGTCGGTCGGTCCTTTCTTCCTTCCCTCGCCGCCACCCCCGGAACTGGGAAAGTTTTGAGAGCAATTTTCCGTCATGTAAGCCGCGGAGGGAGGAGAAGCCCCCGCCCCTGCCCGAAGTGTCTCGTAGGTTTTCCTCAGGTAGGGCGGATTCATGACAAGGTCCTTTCTTCCTCCCGCCTTCGGTGGATGGGAATCCTCCCTCTGCTGCCTGTCGTTAGGAGGGAAAGGGGGAAAAAAAAGGAGACGGCCATGGGAGGAAAGTGTTTGCTTCCTAAGGGTACGTCCGAGTAAAAGGGAGTATATTTCCTTTCCCCCGGCTATTCTGGAGCAAAGACTTTGCTTTGAATGAGGATTAAAATGAGGGATAGGCCCAACAGCTCTTTGGCTTTTCAGGGATAGATAAGAGTCGTGAAGTAGATCTGAGGTAAAATGCTTCTCTGCGTTAAAGGTGAACGATTTTTTTTTAAAAAAAAACCGTAAATCTGGGAACTTAAGAGCTGGAAGGGTTATCTGAGGGGGTTGGGCGCTGTTTGTGATGGGGGGGTGTCTCAGGAGCTCTTTCCTCTGAACCCCTTCTCCCAAAGGATATAGCTCCTTTGAAGTGGCTTCTTCAGTTTGTTTATTTATTTAAAACATTTTCACCCTACCATTATCCTTTAAATGATTCATTCTCCTTTAAAAAAGCCCAAGGTGGTTTACATAATTAAAAGGCAAGATGTAAAAGCTAAAAACAAAAAGTGTGACAAACATTTAAAAGAGAATCAAACAAATACCCCACTAAAAATGATAAAATCAGCATTAAAAACAGATTCAAAGAAACAAGGGACACACTCAATTAAAAAAAACCCTCTCGGACAGCCAGTCACAAGGGAAAGGCCTGCCTGAAGATAAAGATCTTTGCCTCCTTTTGGAAAGAAGTCAAAGATGGGGCTAGCTTGGCTTCCAGGGGGAGAGAGTTCCAGTGTCTCAGGAGCAGTGACAAGAAAGGTCCTCTCCCGTTTCCCTTCAGGAGCAGAGCAGGGAATGAAATAATTGAACTCTTTCTTCTCCCATGTTTGCATAATTTTCAGAAAACATGCACATGAGGTGCGAAGTGTTTCATAACATATTTGGTTATAAAGTGCAGTTTCTAAAGGGGAAAGATAAGAGTTGGCACTGTATTAAGGTTGGGGCTTGGCTTCAATATTAGTTTCTGTTAACATGCTATTTTGTTGATAAAATGTACCACCTTATTTAGACTAATGAGTTCTCAATATGAGCTGATAGACCACAGCTTTCTGTGGGTGGGCAAGAGTTTTCATGTTGCACCTATGTATTTTGATCTTCCTTGGATATTTTAAATGTACTGCTGAATTGGGAGAAGAGATTCTCTGCCATTCTAAAAAACGTGCCTGTTGCATAGTGTTGTTGGCCTCCCTTTCTTTAATTTTGATAATGTTTATGTTATTTTCCAGGATAGAGCTCCTTTGGTGGCAAGATGATAGATCCATTAGAAGGCGGTTTGTTTGATCTTCCTGAATATGAACATATCCAGGATGAGGAGTTTCGACCTCTCCCACCTCCAGACTCTCCAGGAGACAATGATGACGCCTCCTTAGTTAATGGAGGTGACAGTTCATTTAATCTAAATCTTTGCATTAGGGAATCTAACAGTATTTCCTTCTGTATGCTTATGTAGGGTTAAGTTCCTTTGCATTCAGTGGGCTTTACTCAGGAAGAGTGTTTATGACATTGCAGAGTCACTGTGAAACTTTCTGTACCCAAAACATTGAAAACAATTATCTATTGAAAACATGAGGGATAGAGTTTATGGCTATAGTTTTTAATGGTTTATGGCTATAGTTTTTAATATACTCTGTGTGTGTGTATGGTGGTTTATCTGAGACTAGTATTGCATTTATGGATACAGTGGTGCCTCGCATAACGAGCACCCCGTTTAACGACGAATCCGCATAGCAATGCGGATTTTGCGATCGGAAAAGCGATCGCATTGCGATGTTCTAAATAGGCAAAACATCACATTGCGATGTTTTAGAAACAGCTGATCGGCGGTTCCAAAATGGCCGCCAGATCAACATAATGGCCGCCCGCAGCGTTTTCGCGCCGATTCCTCGCTTACCGAGGCAGCGAAAATGGCGGCCCTATGGAGGATTCCCGCTTAGCGGTGAGTTTATTCCCCCATAGGAACGCATTAAACAGAGTTTAATGCGTTCCTATGGGGTTTTTATTTCCGGATAGCAATGTTTCCGGATAGCGACGATTTATCCAGAACGGATTATCGTCGCTATGCAGGGCAGCACTGTACCATATGTATAATAATATATCAATCCAATTGATATAATTTACATTCTCCTTCTTTACACATGTTGTATTTTATTTGCCAGAGCCGGAGGGCAACAAACTGTCACAAACCAAGGATGCCTCAGGAACTACCAGGAGAGTGGTTAGAAGACCATTGCCTAAACTAGATGCTCAAAGGTATTTTCAGCAGAAGAAATTACATATACATAGTTTATATACAGCACAAAAAATGTGTTTTATTAATGCTTTTTATTTAATGTTGGAATTCTTGAACCTAAAACCCCAATGTGTATGCTGGTGCACATATACAGTTTTGATCCTTTGTTGATCTGTGTGTCTGATGCATTTTTAGAAGGTTATTCAGAACAATGCTTTGATAGTTGAATTCCAGATGAGCTTGCTTGTACCTTGCTGTTGTCACCATTGCGTTGACCTCTTGCATTTAGCATTCTGATTAACCAAGATGCAGGACAAGGCCTTCAATTGTAGTGTCCATTTATGTGGGCTTCTTTGTTCTGTTCGATCCAGTTGCCTCCCTGTTTATCAGTGTTTTCAGCATACTGCTAGTTTTTAAAAGATATTTGTTCTGTCATCACTCAAGGTTGACTCAGCCTTCTATCCTTCGGAGGTTGGTAAAATGAGTACTCAGCTCGCTGGGAGGGGGAGGAATGGGTAGCCTGCATAGTTAACTTGTAAACTGCCCAGAGAGTGCTTGAAGTGCTATGGGGCGGTATATAAGCAGGACGCTTTTTGCTTTTTCATCTGTCTTAGTAGTTTCCACTGTTGTGTAACTTAAATGGCTGGCTTCTGGTTTTGGGACTTGCTTTTTTGATTCATTTGTTTTTACCAATTCAATATATTGGGGTCCTTGGGCTGAATAGGCATTTAATACTTAATAGGTGGTCTTTGTAAATTAGTGTTACAAGTTGGTCACATCATCCCTTGATGTGTTTTTCTGTCATGTCATCTCTCTGACAGAATGTGGGGAGGACAAGGGTAGAAGACTGCAATAGAAGATGTTTGGAGCCTAATGGCAGGACAAGGATCTTGTATTTCTGTGATCTAATGCACACCAGCACCTTTCTAAGGGACAGTCCAACAATCTTACTCATAAATTGTCAATCTGTTTCAATAAGGTTCAGCACAGTTTTGTTCTCTGTGGCATTTTGTTTTCTGTGTGCATTCAGAAAGCTTCTTGTACATTTTGACACAGTATTTCAAGATTATAGACAGAATAACAATTCGACACTTCTAACATTCACAGGTTAGTGTCAGAGCGAGGACTTCCAGCTTTGCGAAGTATGTTTGATAATGTAAAATTCAAAGGTAAAGGTCATGAGGTAAGCAATGCTGAGAAGTCTTCTGATTGTTGTGGCCATTGTATGCATATGATAGTAGTCTGGGGTCTCAACTACGTTACATCCAAAACTTTCAGTTGTGAAGAGTTTTTAATTTCAGTGAATTGTTACTTTTGTTTTGATAATAGTGGTATAACATGTCAAGAAAAAACAAAACACATAAAGAAAACAAGACAAAAACATTGTGGCAATTTAAAGATTAATGGCTCTATTTTAATGTCAGCTTTCATAGACAAGTACCGCTTCTTCAGATAGTGGTATAATAATCATGGTTTTAAGTAATATTTGTTTAATGTGGTGCCTCTGTAACCAGATAAAGTGGGATTGGGCAACTTGCAGCCTTACAAATGTTGGACTGCAACTTTCATTACCCCTAGTCAGCACAGCCAATTATGATAAATGATGAGAGTTGTAGTCTTAACAAATTTGGATGGCCACATCTTGTCTGCTTCTCATATGAGGAGGCTCAAGCAAAGGGGAGGATTTACTACATTGTTGAACAGATTGTTACTCACTGTACAAATAGTTTTTGAGAGACCATTCCAAATAATTGCTCTGGTCTTGTAGTGTAATTTGTATTAAGGGAAATAATCTTGTTGCTGCCATAACGTGTGCAAAGAGGAGTTCATTTTTAATTTGGCCCTTCCTACTTGAAGATGTAAAACTTTTGCTCTGTTAGGGAGCTGTGGCCATTCTGCCAGTATTGTCAAGAAAGGACGTCCAATCAGTAGTGATAACAATTCTTTTTGTACATTGTAAATCTTAACAGTCCAGAGATAGAAAGCTAAATTATCCATTGTTTAACACTGATAGTTGAGTGAAGACTGAGTATGCCCAGTGCTTGGCTGATCAAGCACAGTATCTTGTCCTTGCTTTCAGGAAGCAGACCTGCAGACACTTATAAGGCACATGGAGCACTGGGCTCACAGGCTGTTTCCTAAACTTCAGTTTGAAGAGTTTGTTGACAGAGTAGAGCGCTTGGGAAGTAAGAACACCGTTCAGGTGAGTGTCAGCTGTGTTGAGTTTTCAGTAAACATAATACTTCATTGAAGGCTGTAAATAATAAATGGTACATGTTCTCATTTCTAGGCATGCTTAAAGCGAATTAGACTCGATCTACCCATTTTGCATGAAGACTTCCCAGGTAATGAAGGCATGTATCCAATGAAAATGGGAGTACATTGGCTAGTATTACAATATGTCTTAAAAACAAAATCTGGAATGCACTTAGTTTATTGAATCAGGTTAATATTGCCGGGTGCATGTTCAGAAACACTTCAGCAGTTGAAGATGGACTGATTTATCCTCGGTGACTCTGAAGGTACACTCCTGCTCAAGGACAGAAGCAGTACCTTCTTGAATCAGATTTTGGAGCTGTCTAGTTTTCTATGCAGCAATCCTAGTGCTTGGTGGTCCACTCAAAATTGGTCTATGTAATTTCTGTCCATCTTTGTGTAATGAATGTTGTCCTCCTGTAGTAAGGAACATTAATACTAGGGATGTATGTATTTGCTGGCTTCATCTCCAGTTCAGACACTGTATTCTACATTGCGAGGATACAAATTGGTTTGTTAAAATACATTCTGTATCCATTTTGATGAGTACTGTATTTTAGTCATATCTTCATAATAGTTTTCTCTTATGATATTTTGGACTTCTTATGGACAGATTAGGAAGAAATTTGTGACACTGCCACAACAGTGACTAATTATATTATGTCTTTATCGATATTGGAGTAAAATATCATATATGTGGTTGCAATGAATATTGGTTGCATTTGTTAACAATACAGTGCAGCCCTAGATAACCACATACATTAAAAGATGGTTCCTGCCGACAGTGTCTGTCGAGTTATCAGATTTCTGTGCGATGGTTCCGTACATATGTATTCTGGGAAACAGAAAACATTTTGATTTTAAAGTAAGATCCAAGAAATATACAAACATTTTTGTTTACTGCATATGTGATAACTTTAGCTGTTTCATGAAGTAAGGGCGTACTGATTTACAGTTATAGGAATGTGGTGAACACAGAGGAAGGAAATGTTTCAGGATATACTCATTTTGAAGCAATTTTGCTAAAATACAGATTTTGGCCTAAAACTGCTGATGGAGTTCTTGCATTCACTACAGGTGAAGATGCAGGAACCAATGTACCTAATATAGCCACTGAAGAACCAGATATATTTTCTGAAATACTGAATACCGAGGAAAAGTATGATTCACCTTTAAATACTATACTAACAGAGGAGCAACAGCAGAGAATTGAAAGAAACAGGCAAATAGCCCTTGAAAGAAGACATGCAAAAACACAGTCCAACATTCTATTAGAAGAACATGGTAAGTTCCAAAATAAGAGTTGAGAGAGAGAAATTTGGATGTAGTTTTGGATACTTAAATTTTAAAAATCTTTAAAAATAGTTGTCTTGTTCTGTTTTAGGAACCTTTGAAAAAAGTTACTGTTTCTGATATACAGTATTTGAAACTGTTCTACAGACAAATCATCACTATTTTGCCTCTTTTAGGGGATAGAATAGGTACTTTAAAAAAATTTTAAAGCTCGAAATCCTGTTGTATAACTTACACCCACAGAAGGGTGATGATGTTGGGGTTGATTTTTATTCATTAAAAATTTCCTGCCTTTCTCCTGTGGCTTTTTAAACTCTTGCGTCATCCTGTGGTTTTTCTAACCTTTGTGTCCAGTGGTGCCTCACTTGACGACGTTAATTCGTTCTAGCAAAATTGCTGTAGAGTGAAAACGTCAAACAAAATAAAAAAAAACCATTGAAACGCATTGAAAACGGTTCAGTGCATTCCAATGGACTGAATACCTGCTCGTCCAGCGAAGATCCTCCATACAGCAGCCATTTTTTGTGTCTGTAAAGCGAGGAATCCGTCCTAGAAAAAGGGGGGCCATTTTCTTAAGCTGGTGGCCATTTTGAAACCCGACGATCAGCTGTTTGCTGGTCGTTGTAAAGCGAAAATTGGTTCCCGAAGCAGGGAACCGATTGTCACACAGAGAAAAAAAAAACATTTAAAACATTGTTTTGCGATTGCAAAAACATCAAAGTAAAGCGGATTCATCGTAGAGCAGGGTAATTGTCCAGCAGGGCACGACTGTAGTTCCTTTCAGAGTGTGAAAGCAAAACCTACAGCTTACATCACAGTAAGAAGTCTTTGATTATTGGAAATCTCCCCCTGCTGTTAATGGTATCTAGTAGCAACAAAGACTTCCTCCTCCCCTAATTTAGTTCCAGTGGCTTCCATAAAATGGAACTCTGGGACATAAGGAGGCAGTTTTTAATTGATAAAAAACGCCCTCTGCTAATGAAGTCATCGACCTTGTGCAGGCGTAGTTACACCAACAGAATTTCAGCCAGTAGCCATGTTGTGGAATAATGCTGGTCCAGTAATTTCACTGATGTGTAGATGGTACATATATATTTCTGGCTTTACTCAAGTTATAGTGTCATAAAATGATTGGACCATTGTTTGAAGTTGAACATCCATTGTTTATTTGGCTCATGTTCCTGCAAAATAGTCAAGTGTTTTTAAAAACGGTTTTAAATCTGTTTTAACAAATATTTGAATCAGCTATGGCAGCCATAAAAGTGATCAATGCTAATAGTAATACGTGAGTTCTCTTTCAGTTTCAGATATGACAGCTTTGTAGTTCTATATTTTTATTAAAGAAATGCCCTAAGGAAGAATTGTAGATAGGAATAAAGTGATTGGTTGTACATTTCAGATTTTTAAGAGAATCAGTGGAAGTAAGTGTTTCTTTCCCTACAGCAGTGGTCAGGGAACAGGGGTAAATTACCCCAAATGGGGTAAAATGAAAATCTTGGGGGTAATGAGGACATGACCCTAACCCCCTTCCCTCCTCCTCCAATTCTTCCTTTTATGCTGGGGGGGGCGGTCCCTGGCTCCCCAATT